AGCCCCACTCTCCCATTGGTGCAGACACAGGATGGACCCTAGGACAATTCGCCCAGCCCTGCCCACAATGCCTACTGCCCCCTCAGCCACCAGGATGGGAGCAGACAGGCTCCACACTCTGCCAGTGCCATGCACATGGGCAAAAATGGTCGCACAGCTCTAAATTGGTCCTTAAGTGACTCTGCCAAGGTCTTGGGGAATCAAAGCAGCTGGGTTCCTCTCCTTCGCAGAGGATGAGGGCAGAGCCAGGCACTCACAGGGGCATCAGCCAGCTGATGCCACTAGCAGTCATTAAATTAACACCAGACCCAGCTCTGCAGAGTCCCCTGAAGTTAGTGGTCTGAGGGGACTCCAAAGATGGGTTTCAAGCCCTGGTTCTCGGAGGGGATTGGAGTCTGATGGGTTAGAGCAGGGGAGGCTGGGAGTCAGGACTCCTGGGTTCTATTCCTGGCTCTGCCACTGACATTGGGTAACTCCAACTCCATGCCTCTGTTTCCCTTCCCGCTCTTTGACTAAATAGACTGTGAGTTCCTAGGGACAGGGACAGTCTCTCACTGTGGGTCTGTGCAGCGCCTGGCATGACAGGGCCCCAATCTTGGTCAAAGCATCTGCATGCCACTCTCATATAAATACCAGGTTTTTTTGGCAGTAAACCTTGCACACAGGAAAGCAATCACGCTGGATTACAAGGCTGCGTACAACTGGGAAGGTTTGGGTTTTTTTACAAATAAAGGATCACTTTTTAAGCCAGTTTGCAAAATCAGGTGCAAATCCATGCTTGCACAAACTACTGTAAATTAAACCTGGTGCTTGGGGGGGGGGGCGGCGAGCTATTGAATTAAGGCCAGAAAGGGTCTGTGGGATTTATTTTTTTGCTCCTTCTTTTGGCTGCAGGGAAAGAAATTATCCGTCACATTTATCTGGGCCACCACTTTAAAGAAAGGAAAATTATAAAGAAATTACAAACCCCTTAACTACAAGGAGAGAGATTGCACAAGACGTGGGGGAAGGAGGGGTTTTCTTCCCTTCTCCGGCAACATTCAAATGTATCAATTAGTCACAGCCCCGGCTTTTGTTTTATAATTGGAGGAAAGGGGCAGCAGAAGGAAATTTAAAAGAGGAAAAAGCAATAGCCAAGCAAGCAGGTTTATAAACATGCAGGCACACACGCCAGAATTTGGAGCGAATTAAAGAAAGTTGAACTCCTGGGTGGAACATTGTAGCGAGACGATAAGGAAAAGCAACAGAAGGAGAATGCTCTCCAGGGCTTTTGTGGGGCTGTTTTATCTGAAGTGATAAAACTCCTCGAGTGAAATATTCCAAGGAGAACCCTTCTCAACTATTCACCGCGAGAGGGAGGGAGAGGAAATCAACCTTTCAGTAGGTTCTCTTCTCTGTCTCACAGGCGTTGTGTCTGGGCCCAATCGCACACCAGTTCTCACCTGGACGTCCAGGCGGAGTTCGGTTTCATTTAGGCCAGTCGGGAATGGGCTTAGGCTACGCTGAAGTAAAGGCACTAATGCCAAGGAAGGCAGCACAAGAATGGCTGGAAGCGGAAAGTCAGACACATTCTAATTAAAAACAAGGCTCCAGTTTTTAACAGGGAGGGGGATTAACTGCTGGAACAAACCCCCGAGGGCAGGGGTAGGTTCTCATCTCCAGGCCAGATGGCTGCCATTCCGGAAGATGCTTTAGACCAGTGGTTCTCAACCAGGGGTCCGTGTACCCTTGGGGGTACACTGAGGTCTTCCAGGGGGTACATCAACTCATCTAGATATCTGCCTGGTTTTACAACAGGCTACACAAAAAGCACTAGCGAAGTCAGAACAAACTAAAATTTCATACAGACAAAATGCAAAAGGAAGCAGTTTCTCAGTAACAGTGAGCTATGACACTTCCGTATTTTTATGTCTGATTTGGTAAGCAAGTCGTTTTTAAGCGAGGTGAAGCTTGGGGATACGTGAGACAAATCAGACTCCTGCAAGGGGGACAGTCGTCTGGAAAGGCCGATACCACAGCTTTAGATAAACACAAGGGCTTGAGCTCAGTGCAGGGGTGAGGTTCTCTGGCCTGTTGCGCAGCAGGGCAGACGAGAAGATCTAACAGTCCCTTCTGGCCTTTCAGACTATGTATCCAGGCTGGAAACCTCCCGTAGGCCCTGAGAAATCGATGTTGGGGGGCCGGATTGCGTTGGTTCAAGACCAGCAGCAGCCGGCTTCATCCAGTTTTAAGCCAGTGTCGATATGCCCCATGCAACATTGAAACCACCCCACTTGGCCCACCCAATCTTTGGCTCCATAGGCATCAGGCTGAGAGCCCCCAGCTCTTTGCATCCAGCGATCTCCAAGTGCTCTCCAAAGCAGGCCTGTGTCATCATCTCCCTTCTATGGATGGGGAAACTGAGGCACGGGGAAAGCAGTGACTTGCCCCAGGTAACCCAGCAGGTCCATGGCAGTATTCAGCATCCCGAGTGCCACAGCAGGGATCTAGCCTCTAGGCAAGGCTGCATTTGGGGTGTAAAACACCGCCAGAGGGACAGGGTGTGTGGGGAAGCCCCATCTGGCTCAGGTTCCATCCCTCCTGTACTTTGCATGGTTGCTGAGCCTCAGTTCAACCCCAGTGTGGCAAGAAGGGGTGAGGCTCTGGGTCTGGATCCACCCAACTTGATTTCATATGACTATTTCCAGCGCCCTGTCTCCAAAAATCATTTGGCAGGACAGAGCCAGCCCCCAAGCGAGTGGACATGCTGGAGAGAGGGCCTGGGTGCTGCAGGGGGTCGGACAAACCTACTGAACTACAACCCCGCTGCAACACCTGGCTTCTGCATCCAGACAGAGAGAACTGCTCACGTGGGCAAAGGGCCACGCTAAAAATCTGCTTGGATTCCCCCCCCCCAAAGAGCGAGTGCTGGGCATGTGGCTGAGGCCAGAATTAAAAGACAGCTATAAAATAGACTAGCTGCATATTTGTATCCGATCCTGGAGTCCATTCCCTGGGGTGAAAGACCGTGGCAGGTGTCTGTAAATCAAAGCCAAACACCTGAGACATAATAAGTGTGGGATGTAAATACATGGCTACATGAGATGGATAGACACAGACGCATTTCCCTCAGAACCATATTCATCATTCCCTCTTGCCCTGACAGTCCAGTTCTGGGCTGAGCAGACACAACAGAACTGGGCCATTCACACTGGGAGATTTGCCATTGGTTTCCTAATAAAATTCATTAGAGTAGTTGAATTGAGTAGATACCCCCCGCACACACACACACACAGGGTGCTCTTGTCAGGTGGGGGCTTATTCTCAGTGTAGAAATCAGACATTCATTTAATTTGGTGGGAGAAAGGCCCTTGGGCGCCAGCCACATACAAAATCATGGAAACGGAGATGCTATTGTTTGATTTATCTAGGAAAAATTCCTCTCTCTTCCAAAGGCAGCGGTACGTTGCCCCCGATGCTGCGATAGTGTCTGACAGAGGGTTGGAAAAGCGATAAGGTGCTGGGCTGGAGTAATCTAACGCACAAAATTAATAATAAAAATGTTTGCAACATGCCAGCAGAGATATCTAACAGCCAGCCTGCGCTAACTAACAGCCCCTACTGCGAAACGCAAGCCAGGAGCTTCTCAACTGACTCCTATTTCTATGGTGGGGGGGTTAATTTTCTTTCAAATCCTATTTTATACAGGGCTTCACACACCACCACTTGTTTCCAAGGATGCCTTTAATTTCTGCTGGGAACCCTCCGCTCATTTCCAATATAATTAATAATGTTCTCCAGACAAACTCCCCTTAAAGGGCACAACACAGCCTCCCACCCCCACTTTGCTAAGAGAAATGCTCCCATCCCACGTCAAAATATTTCAAGATACAGACGCTACAGTTAACTCCGGAAAGAGAGGTTCAGAGCTTTGAGCCAATGCCAGCAACATTTTGTCAGATTGTGCTTTCATCTCCCCCGCCAGCCCCCCACCCCACAGTGTAATTTCATAAGCTTTGGGGTGTTGTGTTTGTGTGTGAGAAACAACACTACAAAACACACACAAGAGGCACAATTCATGGACGCCCCGATCTGCTCCAATCCAAATGAAACCATCCCATTAATATTAAATAATAACGTGAAGCCTTAATAACAACCACCAATCTTCAGCCAGACCCATCTGGAAGCAGAATATCGCTATTTACGAATATGTTAAGCCTAGTCTAATCGCAGCAGTAGTGCTGTTCTTCAAACCATGCTGGAATTAAAGAATAATACCAACATATGGCTAATATTCACACTGCTTTCTTCCCTGCCTCCGTCTGGGCAAGATGTATTTTTTTAACTCAGCATTTCAGATGATCTATCCACCGGCGTTCCTCCTAATGCAAAGATATCAACTCCAAATGCCAGTTGCTTGCTTCAGAGAGATAACCTCAACCTTATAGATAAGGTTCACACGCACGCATACACACACACACACACACCGTGTAAAATAAATATATAAAAGACAGCCCCAGGGAAAAAATATTTTGCCAGGTCCCCACCCCCACTGGAGAGCGCAGCAAAAGCTAAAATGTCCTCAGCTCGCCTCGTTACACCCCCCCGATATCCCCTCACCCCCACTCCAATGCAGCAATGACTCCCCTGCTGCCCCCCCCCATCCACAGACCCCAATGCCACCTCTGCCGGCTCTGTGTCAGCAGCAATGCAACCCCTAGCCCCCACACATAGATTCTTAAAATAGATGTTGGGGTGAGAAGGGGGTGCTCCCCACCCCTGAAATGTGCATGGATCGGCTGTAGCTCCACCACACCCCATCCCCTTGAAGTGATGCCCCCCACAACCCATCCCCACCACCTTGCTGCTTTGCAATGCTATGGAAACCCCCACGGTTGCCACGGCTGCAAAGGGTGAGGGGGGGGGGAGGCTAGTGCAAATGGATGCAGCGGTACCCCACCCCCACCCCCTCCCATCGCCCCCCACCCCCAAGGGCAGCGATGGGCACAGCATCCCGGTACCTGCTCCGGGGGGGGCCTCGTACGTCCAGCTGCTGCAGAGAAAGGCAGGAGACAATAGAAAGGTGGTGGACCCTCCTCCTCCTCCTCCTCTTCTCTCTGCCCCCCCCTTCCCTGCCTGGCTCCCTTGCAACAAGAGATGCTGCTGGATGCTGCTCCCGCAATCCGCCTGCAAATATGAGTGGCAGCATCAGCACCACAGCTACAGCGCCGCCCCACCGCCCCTCCCTCCCCAGCAGGGGCGGGGGGGTTGTGCAGGCAATTTGGCACTGTGGGGGGCATGCACAGAGCAAATACAGCCCCAGGTTGGGGAACCCACCCCAGTACACCCCGGGAGCCAGATTTCTCCCACCGCTGCCATGCACCAGGATAGGGACCGAGCCATGAAGAGCTAGGCAGCCTGGCCTAGTGGGTGGAGTACAGAGCTGGGACCCAGGACTCCATTATTGAAATGCTGGGGCAGCCTGGCCTAGTGGGTGGAGTGTGGGGCTGGCAGCCAGGACTCCATTATTGCAATGTCGGGGCAGCCTGGCCTAGTGGGTGGGAGCCAGGACCCCAGTTTTGCAAAGCTGCATCTGTCCACCACTTCAACAATTCCCCCCCAAACACACACATGATAAAATGGGGGTGGTACATTTGCAAACTCTAGGGCACAGGAACCTAGATTTCCTGCATCCCTCTCAAGTGGGAAGGGGAGTGGGGTCAAGGGATTACAGAAGGGGGTGGCTGGGACTCGGGACTCCTGGGTTCTGTGGGAGGTCAGATTGGTGACCGTCCCTGCTCCAACAAGCTTACAGTTGAATGGACAGAGGGTGGGAAGGGAAACTGAGGCACCAGTTGGTGAAGGGACTTGTGCTAAATGGGCCCATTGGTCTGAGGTGGGACAGGGAGGGGGTGGGAGAGATATTGGGCTGGATGGCCCATCCAGAGGGGAGGGCCTTGCCCAAGGTCAATGGCAGAACCAGGAATAGAACCCAGGTGTCCTGAGAGGCAGTAAATTACCACACTTTCCTTCCATTCTGCTCATCAACCAGCCCGGGGCCCTGGGAGGGAACGGGATTTAAGGGCACAAACAGATACAGTCAATGACAGGTGAGATGCTGCTGCAGCCCTTTGAGAATGTACCAAGTAACATAAAGTGCTGTTACAGTGGGGGGGGGGGCTGGCCTGGATGTGATGGGAGAGTGCCCCTACTGAGCTCCCAGCCCGCTCCCTGCACCACAGTGCTCCCTGCTTAGTCCCTCGCCCCTCCCCCCTCCCTGCAGCACAGCACCCCCTACTGACCCTGTCCCCACTCTCTGCATACAGCACCCCCTACTGATCCTTCCCTGCTCCCTGCAGCACAGGGCCCCCTGCTGAGCCCCCACCACCACCACCCTGCAGCACAACACCCCTAGTTCCACTCTCCCACCCCTCAGCTACTTCTCCAGCAGCCCTCAGACTCTCTCCTTAGCACCACACTGGAGCATGGACATGAGGGGAGAGTGCCCCTACTGAGCCCCCAGCCCGCTCCCTGCATCACAGTGCCCCCTGGGACTGACTTTGAGAGGAAAATACCCCCTGCTGACTCCCCAGCTCCCCGCAGCACTGCACCCCCTTAGCATCGCAGCACTGGGGACAGCATTGACTGTGAAGGAGAGCGCCCCCTACTGACACCCCAACTCCGCTAGCACCACACTGGGGCCAGCACTGACTGCAAAGGGAAAGCACCCCTCACTGAGCCCCCCACATGCCTTCCTGTAGGTCTCCCATCCCCACTGCACATGCCTTGGCCAGCCTCTTGGACCGGGCACCGGGACTGAACCAGGGAACCACCCAGATCTAAAAGTGGGAGAGCTCACACTGACTGTGGACCCATGCAGCACGCTGCCTGGCGGGGACAACTGTAGCTGGCTGCAAGCTCAGGGTTACCTGCCCAGGCGCTCTGGTTTGAAGCAAAGGCTGGGGGTGTGTGTGTGTGAAGGTGATTCCCCAGCCCTCAAGAGACCCACCCCCATTTGCGCCTCTATTTGCAATTCCTTTTAAGCCACACTTCAAATTAAAGGAGCAGCCACTGCAGAGATGGATTCCAAGTGGGGACTCCATCACTAGCTGTGATGAAGTGGGGGATTTTCTTATCTTTTCGTGGTTTTCCAGCGGGTTGCATGCAGAGGGGGTGGGACTCAGTGCCCCTGGGTGTTACTGGTTTACCGAGGTGAGGGGAGAGGGAGTTTGTTGTTGCAGAGGACCGGAGAGGAAACTTGGGGTCCCAGTCAATGGCCTGGAGGAGGGACACCCCAGCGACTGGTGACCCTCACCGGAGACCCAGCTCAGGAGTCGCAGCCAGTTCTGGCCAGTGGGAGGACAATGGGCTGCGAAGAGAGGACCCCAGTGACCTGACCAGCCGGTTCCAGCCAGAGGGGGTCGGAGAGGAGAGGAGGCCCAGACGACCCTATTTACCTGGAAAGAAGACAATGGACAGAGGCAGGGCCTGGGGCTGGTGATCTCAGATGCCCAGCTGGGAAGCCGGGGGGGCTCTGGGCTGGAGAGGGGGAGCAGGCAGAGCCCACCTGGATGCAGGGGAGACTGGGATGTGCTGTGCTGAGGGAGGCCAGGCCTGAGGGTCAGAGGGTTTCCTATGCTGTGTTCAGTCGCTCAGTGAACCCTCCTGCGTTACGCTGGCTGAGAGTCACTCTGGTCTAGAGAACAGGGTTGCATCATCCCCTTCGGGGTGGGGAGTGTGGAGGCCCCGGGGGTCCAAAGCGAGTGGACTCCCTGAGGGGGCCCACGGCGAGAGACAGACGTGCTAAGGCTCAGAGAAGTGCAGCTCCAGGAGGTGGAGGGGCCTGACCCTGAGAGAGAGTGGACCCCCAAGAAGGGCTGTCTCACTGAAAGGGGCACCCCCCACAGACCGCACGGGGCCAAGAGTGGGCACAATCTGTGAGTCCATGACACTAGCCCTATGGGCAACAAACCCACAGCTGGGCCCCGAGGACTGGCCACTGCCTTGGGAGACTTCAAACGCTCCCTGCCATCATCTCCCCTGCTGCACTCGCTGCTTCACCACCAGCCCCGCTCCTCACAGTGCCCCCTACTGGGCGAGGCCGGGAATAGCCGGGAGTTCCCCCCAAGCCAGCTCCTGCCCTGCTCCCCACAGCTCTGTGTGGAGCATGTCCTGGGGCCAGGACTGAGGGGCATCACAGGGCCGGTGGGGGTGTGTAGGGGGAGGAAAGTGCTGACTGCAGGGCTAAGAGGAGCCCTTAGCGTGACCTAGGAAGGTCAGAGTGAGACCATCCCATCCCCCACTTGCCGATAACAACCCAAGACCACAAGCACCTGGGCCCAGCCGAGCCACCCCCCAACCAGGGGGCCAGGGATAGAACAGAAGAGCAGGGGGCGTGGGCGGGGAATGGGACACAGATGGGGCCTTTCCCCTCTAGGGGGCGCCGGCTCTGATCTGGTACCAGGGCGGGGATCCGGCTGGGTCAGGGGGGCAGGGAACGAAACACGAGCCAGAGCCGGCTCCAGTCCAACTCCATATGCTCTGTTAGCTTCTAGGCTTTATTCCTCTCATACAGTGCAATGTGTTCAGCGTGGGGGGAGGGGTGACAGTGCCAGCTCAGCAGGCCCCACAGGTCCCTCCAGCCTCTCTGCCCCCCACACAACTCCCTCACATCCCCAAACTCCCACAGAGCCTCCTCACTCCTCAACCCCATCATTCGAACACAGCCACGCCCTCCCCAGCCCTCCACCTCCCGCACCCCCTTCCCCCAACACTGACCCATCACCCCGCCCACAGGGACCTCTCCCTGGGGTCCGTTCACCCCTCGCCTAGCCCGAATGATGGGGGGTTGTGCCAGCTGCCAGGCTGAGACTTGACATATTCGTTACACACACAGGGCCCCAAACAGCTGGGAATGGAGTCACCCCACCCCCATCGACGAAGCATCGGCCTAGGGGGTCAGGAGCCCCCTGCAGCTAATGGCTGAGGGTGGATGGGGGTCATTTGTCCTGGGACACCTTCTAGACTAGCTCTCAGATCTGCTGGGAAAAGGGGCTCTGTGGGGAGCCTTGGGGTAACCTTCACCCTGGAATCCAGTGAATCAGAGAACAGGAGCAGAGCATGGGCAGCCCCAAGCCAATGCCCCCCCTTTGCCCCCAGCCAGCTGCTTTGCAAAACCATCACACACAACAACAGACTGTCTGCTGAGTAGGAGACCAGGGCTGGGTAGCAGGGGACTGCAGGTCAGGAGTGAAGGGCACCAGCAATGCTGTGGGGGGGGAGAGAAGAGGGGGGAGCCCAGGGCTGGGATAGCAAGGGGCTGCGGGTCAGGACTGAGGGGGGCACTAGCAGAACTGGAGGGGGAGCCCAGGGCTGGGATAGCAAGGGGCTGCGGGTCAGGAGTGAGTAGTCCCAGGAGGGGCACACACAGACCAATCCTTGCATGCAGATATTGTGCAGCTGATGGTCAGTGCCCAAGCTGCTAGGGGCTTGTCTGCCCCCCAAGCCACCCCCCATCTGCAGGATGTGAGACGAGCACCCAGAGAACCAGTTACGCACCAGACTGACTCATGCCCAGTAGCCCATCCCCAGCAGTGCCAAGGGCTGCATGCCCAGGACCAGCTCACTGTGCAATTAGCTCTGATGGCTTGGAGCAGGAAGGCTGCTCCCCCCCAGGCCCCATTGCAGCAATGGGATGGGGGTGCCATGCTGCTCCCCCACAGGCCCCATTGCAGCCCCCAGGGTGTGCTGTGCCACCGCCTCACTCCCTCCAGGCCCCACTGCATCCTCCCCAGCAAGGAGGTAGTCCGGGGCACTGTGCTGCTGCCTCCTGTGCCCCACTACAGCCCCCCAGCATGGCAGAAGAGTGCCAGGCCCCCCCCTTAGGCTGGGCATGGAGCAGCCACTGGTTGCTTAGCAGCCCTGGAGCACACTCGGCTGTTAGGGGAGGCTGGGGTAGGGGGGAGGGCTGAGCGACCTTTCCTGCCCTTGCATGGCAGAAGCAATTAAATCAGTGAATGCAGAACCAGGGCGTGGGGGGGGGGGGTGTCTCGACAACAGAGCATGGGCTGCAGCTTGGAGCCTCCCCCAGGGCAGAGGGAGGGAATGAGACAGGCACAGAGAAGACGGAGGGAGGAGGGTGATCCCTGGGCAGAATCCCACTTCGGACTGCTATG